TCCTTTCTTTCCCACCTCCCTCTGTCATGCAATCTGCTTAATCGAATGGGGCTCTGTTACTGTTGGCTCTGCGGCGCCGATATTGCTAACAGGCAAGCTGTCTCCTCCGTCTTGCATCAACAAAAGAGCAAGCCAAACTTGGAGTCGTGGTACCTCCAGCAATAAGGCAGATCCTACAAAGAACAACAACTACAGCCTGATTTAATAGGTAGTCAGGTCTCCTCTTAGCACTGCCAGTTTAAGAACAAAGCCTCTTGTGCTTACACATATTTAACAAATATCTGTAGCCCTGTAAATCTTAGTGCTTTTTATCGAAGACAATTTCAGCAGCTGACTGATGTTGCTGGGTCATACTGGGGGCCCAGTTCAGCAGTCGCTGCTGCGCTGGGAGGGAATTTGGGTGGGAAAACTGGAGAACAGATGGGGTCCGGCAGCCTGACCTTGTAGCTGTTGCTTTAGCTGTGCACTGAGTCTTGGCTCTGATCTGCTTCCTTAAGGCCGCTGTTGTAGCGCGCGATACAGTGGAACAAAACCAGCGTTGAGGCTTTAACTACCACCACTACTAGAAAGCTGGGATGCAGCAATGGGCTGGGGAGCCTGCAGCCCTGCCTGAAGCGCTCCGTTTTGTATGCATGAGTTCACTCCTTTGGGTTGCTAGCACAGACCCCTCTCCTAGCTGACCAAATCCAACCTCTTAATGCTCGTTCTTGGCTCTGTGGGGAGAGCAGGGGTCTCCTGTTGAAGAGGGACTTTGGAGGGTGGAAGATGGGACTGGGAGTGAATTCCCAGGTCCGCCTAGGCCTGGAGTGTCAATGCGGATGGAGCTGGGATGGGGAGCGGTGCCTGGGAGCTGCTGGTGTCACAGCCAAGGAACAGAGGGCATGTCGTCAGCATGAATGCTTGCACGCTAATCGCGATCGTGATACAGCCCTTCCCAAGGGGCAGGGAGTCTCATCAGCTCCTGTTGTCTAGGCAGCCGGGATGAGGTGTTGCAGGCCCCTTCTTGGGACCAGGATTTCAAGGGTGGATTTAGGCCTAGGATTTTGCCCTCTGGTCGCAGAGGGGCTTCCTGGTTCCAGCTTCTGAACACTGAGCAGTCTGTGTGGGGCAAACGAAGCTTGGTGCGCAGCCCAGGTTAAGACTATAGGTGTTTCGTGCCCAACAGACCTTCTTACCACCCTCGGACAGTGCGGTACTTTTTCACTTTTCCCTTCACTGGTGCAGCCTACTCGAGGAAAGGTAAATGCATAGCATCCCTTCTCCAGACTCTGCATCAGTAATCTGGGGCCAGCTACTTGCTCTAAAGCATACCATGGCACTGAGATCCCTTAAAATGTGCTACAAAGCACACCTTATTTCGAGAGTATCCTAACCTGGAACCGCTCATTGGGAATGGAGATTTCTCCTATGCCAAGGAAAGGTGGGTGCCAGCAGATACCATTTTGACTCAAGCACTGCTCGTTGGATCTGGAGGATGATTATGATATTGTCCATTGGGTAAAGGCAGCTGAATGAGTTGTGTGTTGTTCTCCAAGCCGTTGCCTGTCTCTCTAGAAGATCGTGCTCCACGTTTGCCAGTTCAGAGCTGACAACTGGTCCCTCTCACTTGTTACTCTTGTTTCCCGCAGGGGTCCTGACAGCTGGAGAGCACACCTTTCCCTTCCAGTTCCTGCTGCCAGGTACGATGCAGATAACAAACATCCCAAGGCTCTTTCATGCAAGCTTTGGCTTTTCTATCCTCTGAAGCTGGGCATGGACTTGGGCTTTACTGCAAAGGCAGGCTGGTGGCTCTGCTTGGAGACGCTAGAGGGAGTGTAAGGTCAGCCACTGATAGCAAAGAGCTCAGACAAGCGTGAGACCTTTTAGGTGGTGCAAAGCCAGATCTGAGCTGTTGCAAACACCTCTCTAAGCTTGACCCTGGGAACACCGTGGGAGGAGGTCCCAGCCTGTGACTAGCCAGCCCCTCCTGAACCGCGGTGCAGTCAGAGAGAGGGTCTCTGCTCTCACACCCGTGATGTGGAGGATTTTTTCTGTAAGGTTTGCAGTGAGGTCTCCAAGTAAGCCAGGTGTTCGGCTCCAGGTCCTTTTTTGGGAATCCTAGTGCGCTCTCTCTCTAAGGTACTTGCAGAACTCTTCAGGTGAAGAGGAAAAATGTTTCAAGGGGCTATCTATTTCCAGTTCCTGACTCAATCTTATGATGCCTTTTCCTTCTCCCTCTGAAATCCAGCTTCTGCTCCTACATCATTTGAAGGCCCTTTTGGCAAGGTCCTCCATCAGGTGAAAGCTGTGATAGACACACCTCGCTTCTCCAAGGACTACAAGTGTAACAAGATCTTCTATGTTCTCTGCCCACTTAACTTGAATGACATCCCTGATATTGAGGTAAGAGCAAGGATGAGTGTGTTGGGAAATGCTTGGGCTTGAGGCAGGTGTCCTTGTCATATGTGCTATTTGTGGGATAAGTATGCAGTCAGACAGCTTTCTGACCCCGTGCCCCGACTGCGCAAGGGCAGGACAAGGACTCCTGCTCCTCATGTATCCTGCCATGCCATCGTGACTCTTCCATATATCACTTTGGAAGATTTATGTGAGTTTCTGGCATACAAAGAGAGGCATCTGCTAGCAGCGCCAGCTACGTGTGGAGACCTGGGTTTGGGGAATGTGCTCTGAAGGGAAGAGAGGCTAATAGAAGAGCAAAACTGGGGCTGTGGAGTAGTGAGGCCCGTCACCTGTGGCAATGCTGTTATTGGTTTTGTGGCTTCTTAGATCAAATATTCCCGCTTGCTCGTTTTGAATCTCTGACTGTTCTCCTGGAGGCTCTCCGGCTCCCTTGAGCCAACATCTTTGTCTCTCTGTTCTCCTGCAGCAGCCCAACACTATGTCAGTCACAAAGAAGTTCAACTACAAGCTTGTGAAAAGTGGCAACGTTATCTTGACTGCCACCTCAGATCTCAAAGGGTACATCGTGGGGCAAGCAATCCAGCTTCGCACGGATATAGAGAACAAATCAGGCCGGGACACTGGGGCTGTGGTGGCCAGTCTGCTCCAGGTAAGCGTCCGTAAGGGCAATTTATAGCCTGTGCTGGTACTCCTCTCAAGCCGATATGAAAACGGCGCAGTGCTAACCACAGTGCACATCTCTGCTGCGTGTGTGTGGGAGGCAGTAGCGAGGAGTCCAGAGCTCTGGCTGACTCTATTTCCTCTACCTTCCTGGAGAAAGAGACAGTAGGACTTGTCACGCTTACACCATCTCAGTGTATCATACAATTGTAGGTTATCCTGCCCTGTAATATGTACATTAGGTTTGTACTTGTGCTTGTATGACAGAGCTATCTGGTGGTTTTGTGTCCTGCCTCATGTTTGTGTGAGATACTAGATGTCTGCAAACCTTCTGCTAGCTGCTCTCTCTCTTGTCTGTACAGAAAGTGGCTTATAAATCCAAGCGCTGGATTTATGACTTGAGGACCATTGCAGAGGTGGAAGGCTCAGGAGTGAAAGCCTGGAAACATGCAGAATGGAGGGAGCAGATTCTTGTTCCGGCATTGCCCCAGTCCATTCTGCAGGGCTGTAGTCTCATACATATTGACTACTACATCCAAGTGAGTACCTTCATGCACCTGGGGGAAGTGGCGCTCCAGTGGGCCGCGCTGCAGCAGTGGGGTCTGCCTTGGAGAGCCTGTGGCGTGCAGCATATGGGGGGAGATGCTGCTTTGATGAGGAGCTCAGTGGGACCAGTTTCCCCAGGTTGATGCCGATGGCTGAGGCTGTCCTTGGGCTTGTGTTGAGCTCTGTCCCTGAGCTCGGTAGCTTTGTGGCGCGGATGGCCCTTGTATCAGGTGAACCTGGCTGTGTCCGCTGCAGTGTATAATGAAGAGGATGCCACTGTTTCTCTTTCTCCTCCAGGTTTCTCTGAAGTCGCCGGAGGTTTCAGTTACTCTCCCCATTTACATCGGTAACATTGCTGTGAACAGGGTCCCTCTGAGCCCCTCCCAGTCAGTCCTGCACATACCGTCTGCAGTGGTACCCAGTGCCCCCCCGGAGGAGGAGGAGGCTGCCAGCGGTTATCACCCGATGGACAATGTTTCGATCCCCACCAAAAGCCATTCCCAGCAGCAGCCGTTTAGCTATGCCCCGGGACTGAGCTTCCAGGAAATAAGGCTGGACTCGGAGCAGACAGGCTCCCCAAACCATCCCACGCTCTGCCTGTCAACGGGAGCCACTGTCCCTTATTATGCTGAGGGGAACGTGGTGCCTGTTTCCACAGCCAGCTCGCTCATTTTGCCTCCAGAGTACAGCACGTGGGGCTACCCATACGGTGAGCAGTCCTCTCCTGAGATCTAAAAACTCTGGTGGTGTGGTAGTAAATGTCTCCTAGGAGCAAAGTACTTGCTGCAAACTGAGTTGGAATATAGGGATGTTAGCTTGCCAGGGGACTGAAGTCGGAGGGGAACACGTGATCGCTCTGTCTGCCTTAGCTTCAGGCAGAGTTCCCCTCTTACAGCTGTAAATGCCGACTGTCCGTTCCCACTTCTAAACCCATGCTGCCTTGGGCTTGTCCTGAGAGGATCTCCCTGTTCTGAAATGAGCTTTCAGCCTCCCACTGATAAAAGAACTTCTTGGCTTGTGGTGAGGTTGGCGGGAGCAGAGCCAGGAAAATGATGTAACTGAAATCTTGTGTCTGACTTGGAGTGGGCCTGAATTTAGTCTGAAGACACAAGTTGTGGGGGTGGAAGCTAAGAGACTGTCCAGGACAGAAGAGCTTGGGGAAATCCCAGCCCACTGGATTCCTGGAGCAGTATTTGTCACAGGTGGCTGCAGGGGCGGGGGGACAGGGACCGGGGCTGGACACTGGTGGTGTGGCTCAGTCCTACTTGAAAAAAACGATCTGTTAGCACAGGGGTAACGCAGTGTTAACGCAGATGTGTCACTACACCCCTGGCTTGTGCCCCCTGGCACACGGAGCACAGGTCCTCTGTGATCTGGAGGTGTTAGCATGCATGATGATGCTCGTAAAAGAAGGAGACAAACAGAAAAAGGACTTTGTGGTGCTGATTATAACCACTGTAAAGATGAGGACAGGGATGGGACTGGCTGGCTCAAATCCTATGCACGCATGCATGAACCCATTTACTTCAGCAGGGTTGGCTAGGTCCTGATGGTCCCTAGCAGGAGCTGAAGGGGAAGGAGTACCTGCATGCATGCGTCACATGTGTGTGGGTTAGCAGCTTGCTTCACCTGGCACTGAGTTAGGTAGTATTGAGTTAGGTAGTCTAGGGTGAAGGGAACTTTGCAGACGCCCACTATAACTGCTCTTATTCTTTATTTTCCCTGCAGAGGCACCTCCATCCTATGAACAGAGCTGCAGCAGTGCCAACTCCAGCATCAGCAATGGCAACTAGCCTCCCCTGCTTCGAGTCCCGTTGGTGCCGCCCACGCCCAGGCACCATGGGTCACCTGCCGGCTGCAAAGTCTGGTACAGCACAAGGCGTCTTTTTATCTCTGTGGCTGCTTGGCAGGGTACATGGTGCATCCCTGCATCCCAACTTGGGCTTTTTAAGTCTCTTTCTTGGGAGGGAAAAAAAAAAACGCCAAAAAGGGCAGCCAGAGCAGCCTGTGTGTGTGCGTAGGAGAGGTCTGGGAAACTGAACTGCCTCCTTCTGCTGCACAGAGTGCTGCAGGACTGGTTTTGCCCCAGGGATGCCCTGTGCAGCAGCCTGTGTTTAAAGTACTGTAGTCAACACTAACTGCTTTACTATCAAAGCACCTGCGATGCCTTATTTGAAATGCTCCTGACTTGGCATGTCTCCACCGTAGGCGAAGGCTGGGCTGTGTGGACTTTCTCTTCTCTTTTGTGGGCCACATACTCTCCAGAAATGTTTTTGACAGCCTCCTCCCTTGTCCTTGTATGTCTTAAGGGTAGCTGGAACAGGAGGTTTCTTGGAGTAAGCAGGTTTGGAAGGTGAGGGACTTTTAAAACGCCAAAAGCACAAGCCCTTGATAAAGCTGTGTAGTGGGGTGAGTGACTGGCAGCCTTCAGTCCTCTAGCAGTGGGCTGGACCGCTGCCTGCATGCCGTGAATGGAGAACAGGCTCTGGGGCAGGGAGCTTGCTGGGGTACTTGCTAGCAACCCAAGAGGCCCTGATGTGCTGTGGAAGGGGAGCCCAATGTTGTTAGCGTGGGTATCACGCTAACAGCGTGGGTATCACGCTAATCGTCAGCCTGCTTCTGGCCTTCTTCGGCAAGAGCAACTTCCCAGAAGCCCTGTAGGAGGCTGTGGCCTGCTGGTCTCCATCCTTGCTTGCCGCTGGACCAGCAGCGCACAGGATAAACAGTGCTAGTTATTTTGCAGGGGTGGGAGGACCAGATCGCCGATGTCCCATCTCCCACACCTGCGCCGATGTCGCCCTCTCCCTCCCAGCTGCCACTGCCTTAGACAGGCCAGAATTATGTGACAATCAAGCTACAAAAGTCAATCTGATGCTACCTCTGAATCTGCCCAGCGACCCTGTCTGTGGAAGCCCTTTCCTCTGAGGTGACCCTCCTTCAAGGCTCAGCCTGGCGTCTCTTGCAGGAGCGGTCCACAGTGCCAAGGAGGTGCCTGAGGGGCCCTTGGCCTGGGGACCGTTCTCTCCGCGAGGCGGTACTGGTTTCCTGCTTGTCCCCTGAGCCGTTTCTTGAGCCCCAGCAGGATGTGAAAATGAGTGAGAGGGAACACAAACTGCTATGCCTCATTTGCAGCCTCTGCTGGACCTGGCAGGTCAGGGGAAGAAGCTGGTGTATTTAAAACAACATTCTTCTTTTATGCTTTTTCTCTCGTTGTTTAGCTTTTTAGTATTGACTGCCCAACATGAGGAAACCACAAACCAGGTACTCAGAGCTATAGGCAGTCAGCCAAGACTGAAATTGTGGACTGCAGAGCTTTGGCACCTCTGAAAATTGGTCTCCATGCTGCCTCGTGCTGGGCAGGCAATAGCTGGCAAACCTGTTACGAGCACTACAGCCTCTGCCTCTGTGTTTTAGCCTGCCGCTGCACACCCCTGGCAGGCAACTGGGGACAGCCCTGCTTTCCACCCTTTCTTTGCAAATGCTTTCTTTTTTTAGTGTTGAACTGCTTTAAGGATAGCGTAGAGGAGGTGCTGTTCTGAGCAGTGCTGGCACAACGTGCACCTATGTGGATAGAATGATTGTCATTGTCCATTTATATATATATATATATGAGAGATGAAGTTTTGTTTTTAATGATTGAATTCATAAATACAAATTTTAATGCTGTATTTAATAAATTATTCTAAGAGAAACGTTGTGCTCTTTCATCCATTCCTGATACTTACCCATGTGCCTGTTCATGCCAAATCCAGGAATGCACCTTGCTGATTTCTTAAAAAAAATTAAGGAAATTTTTTGCTCTCACTGAGAAGATGGTGATTTCTGCCAAGACAGCTCTGGGAAACAAGCATTGTAGTACGGCCTGCCTGACTGCAATGCTGCGCCCTTCGTTCCAGGTGACCGGAGGGAGTTTGGCACCACGTGGGCTCAGCTCTGGAGAGAGTACTCGCTGGACTGCAGCATGCTGCTTCCCTGGCCCTGTGTCGAGAAGCTATGGCTTGTCCAAGTGGCCTCTTACTCAGTGCTCTCTGCAGTCTTAATTCAAGCCAGAAAGGAAAAGGTGGACTGGTCGGGAGGAAGGAGGATGGAGATGGGATAGCCAAGGTCTGGCTGGAAAGGCTGGAGCCCACCAGCCCGTTGCTCTCTCCTAGGAGCTGTGCTCCTAAAGAGCCATTTGGAAGAGACTTAGTAAAAAGGGACGAAGGCTCCTCCCAAAACGCACAGAATTTGGTGATACCATGTCAGAAGTGTGTAGTTGTGCAAGGGTGTGCTCTAGGTGCTGCCACTGCACGTAGTCTGAGGCTTGATCTGTACGTCAGGCGTAAGGGTCCTCCTTCGCCCTCTGCTCAACTAGTTCTTCTGCCCAGCTTTTATTATATAGGACTGACCCCCTGGCTAGGTGGTTTGTGCCTGCCATGAAAAATATTCTTGATATGCAGGGGGTCAAAGGCAAATGCTTGTTCCTTCCTAAAGGTGCATCTCTGCCCATGCTCTTCCTCTTCCTCCCAGTTAGCTGAACCTGTTTTGCCTGGCTCAGCACGTAGGCCCTGTGCCCTTCCTTGTTCTCTGCAGTTAGTCCGTAGTTGTGCTGGTTCTCTTGTTAAACCAACAGGACGGACCCCTTTTTCCTCATTCAGTGCTACCTGTGCTTTCCCCTTTCAGGACGCGTTTTTGTCTGCAGTCTGCATTCTTCCTTTCAGGTCCAAACCCAAATCGCTTTCACACCACTGCGAAAGTTCCTCTGAGCTCTCAATGGTTTTGGGTATGGCAGGTTTGGGCTAGAGCCTCCTGACCCAGCTTGGGGTCAGAGAGAGGCAGCCTGTGCTGGGGCTGTGGATTCCCAGTTCCTTGTGCTACGCTGCTTGTGGCGTGTTCAGCCCATGCACCCATGTTCCTGGGCTGGAAAACTTGAATGCTTTTTGGCTACTGTGGCTCAAGGCAGTGGGGGATGCCCTTCTAGTTCCCAAGCCAGTGTTCATCCTCCTAGTTTGACCGTTGGAGTTGGGAATGCCCATCTGTGTTGGAGACTCCGGAAAGGAAAGACCTGCCATATCCTACACAGCCCTCTGTGTTGTGCCCTGCATTTCTGCAATGCTCCAGTGCATTTGAGCTTGTTCACTCAAATTATTTTTGCTAGCAAACTGGCACTTCAGCACCTTTTGCTTTACGTGGCGTCCCCTCTGCAAAGCAAGGAGCAAATAAGCATGCAGCTCCTCGCGAGTGTCCATCTCCACAGGTGGCTGTGGAGGGAGTGGGAAGGAGCGGAGGGGTCTGAGTGCCTCTGCTGCAGAAGTGGGTACCTCTCACACTCATCACAAGTACCCGTTGCTACTCCAGTCAAGTCACCTTGTCAGCCTGGAGGAAAGTGGTAAAACTGGAACTTACTGTCTTGCTGTTGGGTGACCTGCCATCAGGGCTCTCTGGCACAGCATCTAGGTGCTAGCTTAGTAGGAACTGCAGAGTCAGAGCTGCTAAACCTAGCAGTTTAGCTTCTTCCGGATGCTAGGGTTGGGTGTGCAGAGGTCCTGCAGGGGAGAGGCCTTTCTGAGTCCTGCTGGCTGGCTCTGGCCAGGATGCAGGAGGGGATCATCCTGTCTAAATTTGTCTCTCAACAATCTCACTACTGTGCAAGATGATAGAAATATTTGCAAAGTGCTGTGATTCTCAATGTTCCTGTCCCAGTCTTGCTCCCTGTGCCTGTTCCCCAGTGCTGCAACAGTGAACTATGCACTAGTGAAGTATTTCAGCCTTTGGCGAAACAGCCTTCCTTATGTTTCATGGACCCTGTAGAAAAGGTCCATGACTGCAGGATGAAAGACACCCATCTAAATAGTCAGCCTCTTCTTAAGTCTTCTTAAAGCTGTGACCCCAGGATGCTATGGTAGCGAGGCCTGCAGGGTAGATGACTACTTCAAGTGAGCATTATGGGGCCAAAAAAAAAAAAACCTATGTTCCCTTCTGGAAAGGGTGAGTGGACTGTCCCTTCCTTCTCTGCCTTGCTGCTATCTCTCTTCTTTGCAGCCTCTCTGATTTCAACCTTTTTAAGTTACGGGGAGCTCTTTTAGGCCCCCTGGTCAGTCTTATCTCCTCTTTCTGAACTCTGTAATAAAGAGGAAGACAGACTGGCCTCTGAACCCAGCTCTGGGTAGAAAACTTCCAGTGCATAGGAGTTCATTTAAATTCTTGGCTCAAATTTTTAAGCAATTGTTTTTGGGTGTTTGTCTGAAATGGGGAGGGGAAGTGGCGGGGCGTGAGTGAAGCTTGTGAGATAATTGTTTCCAAACTCAGCATTCAATGGAAAATACCAAAAATATCTTCTGTCCTTTTTTCTGCTGCTGCTTTTTTGTCTTTTGTGTTTTTTGTTCTTGTCCTGCTCTCCACATGTGCAGCCTCCATATTTCAATGTTAATTGTGTTCCCCTAAACACTGCTTTGGCACCTGCCGTTTCGCCGCGTGCATGAGCTGGGGAAAGGGCAGGAGGCGCGGGACGAGGCGGCTTCTCGGCCCCCGCGCTGCTGTCGTCCCTCCTGATCGAGTTAGTTTTTTGCTCGCTTCCCCCTGCGTCTCAGCGCTGCTTTGCTTCTTCCCGTTGTCTGTTCACGCTGCAGCCTCTCTCGGGACAACTAGTTCCCCTGCTGAGGTTTTGATTTCATCGGAAGCCATTAGGACGACAGGGTACGCTCCGATAATCTGAGCTCAAGCGGAGCGAGAGCAGGGAGGAGGGCTTTTGCTCATCCTTTTCTCCAGCTCTTCTTTTTGGTGGACGTTGAGTTCTTTTTAGCTTTCTACTGAGTTGGCAGTAGTTTTGTAAAAGTAGATATTTTCTGCTAATGACTGGAGAAGGAAGTTTTCCTGTTGAGTCAGCACAAAGTAGAAGATAAGGGGTGGGCTGAGTCTGTTTGGTTTTTATTCTGTATTTTAAGGTTTTTCCAAACATCTGCAGCAGGAACATCTGTCCTATTCATCCTCCCCAAGAAAGA